AAGTCTTTAGTGGCTCCTTGATGCGTGCTAACGACTAAAAGTGCCCTCCTCATGCCTTCAGCGTCTTTTCTCCCCACCCACAGGCGCCCTACATGCGCTAGGGACCCCTGAGTCGACAAACCGCTGGTGTGGGGGAGGAGGATCGCACCGCCTCTGATTGGCTACTGCTGCCGTCAGCTCAGGGGGTCCGCAATCCCCCCTGATCTCTCGAGCAGACACCGAGCACGCATCGATTGACTGATCATCATCGCAACCCTTGGTGCCCAGCCGATCCTCACGTCTCGAAACGAAACAATTTGGCATCACCGGTACCTATGAAAAATCATACGCATCATACTCGCTGCATTGCGCCTCCCGCCAGCCGCGGCTGCCACCCAGTTTTAATCTTTTCATGTCCAATCGATCCTGATGCACCAAACCAAGAAAATGCCTGATAGACAACACATAATGTCCGAGAACCAATCTAATGCTCAAAATATGCTACTCTGCTCGTACATATCCATACTCGACCCCAATGCCCCGCCTGTCGCCCTCTCAGTCTTATCCTTGTTGCCTTGCTCCTACCCTGTCCTCCTCATGTCCATTACATCCGTCCATGTCCCTATATAAAATCGTGAATCGCGACTCTTCGTCCACCAAACACATGCACTGCTAGTCCGTGCAGGAACAACCAGTAGGCATTCGACAGCATTTTGTACATATCCATCCACTTTCGTTGCTCGTCCGTTAGGCGTGCTTCGTGACTTCTTGGCAATGCGTTTCAGCTTTAGTTGCCATTGCCGTTGAGCTGAACTCCATCGAGAGGGCTGGCCGGGCCCGACGGGCGCTTGGCGCGCAGAGTGAGCGGGAACGGGTATTCATCAGGGTCTTCCTCCTCACTGCGAATACGGGTTAGCTGTGTCGAACCACATCATCAGCAATGGTCAACTTACGGCAACTTCCAGGCGACGTAGTCCTCCGTGTTCAAGCCCTCCCTGCCTTCTTGCAGACTGGCGAAGTCGCCAGGCGTCATCATGCCAGTGCGGTCGCGAGGAGATCCAGGGACCGAGAAGGGTCGCGAAATCTTCTGCTCGACGCCGGGGATGAAGTCTTCCTCCTCCTCTCCGTTGAAAGAGCCCGGATAAGCCCGTCTCAGTGCCAACTGACGAGCCTTGACGTACTCCATGCCCATTCTCTTCCAGTCCAGCAGATCGCTCAGGCGCTCCGTACGGTTACGCTGGTTGATGCGTTGACGACGGCTCTTTTGGCAAAAGTCAAACATGTGGTTGGTGAGCTGGTTGACCGAGTCATCAACACCCTTGGTCCGGCGGTCCACAATGTAGATACCGTAGTCGCTCGAGTTTTCAATCAACTCCTCCATGTAGCACCCAAAGCCGGAGAGGTTGGTCGTGATGCTAGGAACACCCATGACTGTGCATTCGGCCGGGGTGTATCCCCAAGGCTCGTAGTACGAAGCAAAGATACCCATGTGCGTACCGCGCACGAACTCGTCGTAGTCCAGAGGCAGGACAGGGTTGGCCGAGTTCAAGAATTCGGGGTGGAAAACAATCTTGACGCGGTCTGTGGGGTGGTTGAAGAGCTGGACACGTCTGATCTGGTTCAATACGGGATCCTCACTATCGTTGAGCATGTTGTGGGTAACGATGGGGGGGAGGCCGTGGCGCTTCATCGCGAACAGCCGCCTGCGGATGAGGACACGGTCTTGCGCGCTGATGAGCTCCTTGTCATCGGGCATCGGATCACCGTCGTGCCACTTGAGCGAGCGCTCAAAGATGCGACGACCGATGCCCTTTTCGATGACATCGACAGTGTCGCGCAGCGACTTGATGACGGCCTGTCCCTTGAGTGCCTCGACGGTGAGCGAAGTGGTCTGCGCTGGCATGATAACAAAGGCAACGACAGTAATCTTGCTGCCGACACTCTTGAGGCGGTGGTTCAAGCGGGCCAGGGATTCGATGAACATATCGACACCTTTGTTTCTGAATTCGTAACGGCCGGCGGTGAAGAAGTACAACGTGTTCTCGGGGTCGAAGTCGTAGTGGCCGTAAAAGTGGCCTCGGACGAAGTCGTGAATCTTTTCCTTGGCTTGTTGATGCAGGTTCTGGAACTCGTGCATGGCGGAGAACTTGGTAACGTTGAGACCGTTGGGCAGCACACCGTCCGGTTTCCTCTTGAGCAAGTGCTCGCTCTCGTAGGCGGTGATGTGTGAAACAGTGGTGAAGACATCGCAGGAGTGGGCAGCGGCGCGCTCGATGCAGTATCTGTGGTAGATGCCACGCTTTCCGGCCTCGGCGTCAACGTCAAACCATTGGAGGTTGTTGTAAAAGTCAACGGAACCAGCACAGAGGTATCTTCCCAAAAGGGTTGCGTGGGTAGTGAAGATTGTCGTCACGTCGATGCGGCGTCTCTTGGTGAGCGGCAGAGCGACGCCGGCAAGCCACTCATGGAAATGCGCAATGACGGCTCTCTTCTTCTCGTGGCAAACGAACTGCAGAAAACATGGTGGTCAGCTTCGTCCCCGGGAAAAAAAGTGCATTGTCCTTACCTCTCCCAAGAACCAGGCAACGACGTATCCGAAAATAACAGCTTCGTTTGTCTCGTCATCGTTGGGCGGCGAAGGGATGCTGGCGACGTTCCACAGGTCGGCCTTCCACTCATCCATAAAGTGGTAAGCTGTCTTGGTGTCGAAGAGCAGGACCCGGGGAGCGCCATCGATAAGCCAACGGCCGTAGAGGATGCCAATTCCACGGTCTCTCATGGACTGGATCGTAGCAGCAAGCTCGGGATTCGTGGGCTCCAACTCTTCCACCTCGACTGCGGCCTGTTATTTGGTAAGCAGACTATAGACGGTGCCGCTAGCAGTTCCAAACTTACCGAGTTGTGGTTCAAGGGCCCGATGAGAGTATAGCGATCGCCATACTCGGCCGTGGTCACGGGAGCTTTGGACTTGAGGACCGAGTAGATACCACCGACTGCATAGAATGGGTCAGCCCACTGCGGAGACTTCGGCCCAGGGGGGTTGAATCGTGGGGACTGTACCTCGATGGGCAACCTCGGTTGCGATTTCGAATAGCAGGTGGTTCTTTACATCGCGGGCAGGACGGTCGGTGTTGTCCCGCTGACCTTGTGGGAATTCGGACATGGTGACTGAAGGGCAATCTGGAAGTGCTGAGCCGGGGGGAAAAGTCAGTTAGCGAGAGAGACGGACAGCTTCAAAATGAGGGTCGGAGTGCGGGAGCGAAGGTAGAAAAGGAGTCTGGGAAGTTTGCATCGTGGCCCCAGACTCAATGGGAGCTTGAATGACGCAAATATGTAGAAAGCACTCACCCGTAACCAAGGCGACGCGGTGGAAATGTGAAGACGTCGGAGCTTGGAAAAGCTCCCGAGATGGCTTGGGTCGGTAGACAAGGCTTTGATCCTAAGACAATGGGAGGTGTGGAAGGTCTTGGGAAAGCTGGACAGGAACGGCGACGGAAGATAAAGAAAAGTTCAAGAGCTCTTTTGGCGAGGAGAAGGAGAGAAGTTGTCTGCGGGGAAGAAAGGTTTTAGCTACGAAGGTCCTTGGGCCTTGGGAAAAGAAGCGAGCGAGAGCGCGCGGGCAAGGCCTGGTCTGATGTATGGTGGTGTGGTTGCGTGGTTGGACAATGCAGCAGCAGGTCCCCCCCATCCAGTGGCTAGCCCAGCTTTTTCCTGTTCGCGCTAGCGACAGCTGAAGCGATACCTTCATAATGCGTTGACAGCCCGCCAACCCCAATGTACCAACCTTTTTTTTTGTGGAAGCTACCGTAAGGTACCTTAATTAATTTTGACTATGCCCAATGTATGCGAATTGGCGTCGACATGTAGAGACTTTTCTAGCCAGAATCAAGACAGTAGCAGAAGTGGAAAAGCCAAAGGACAGAGGGCAGCACGGCAAGGTACTTCCCTCCACGCCACCCTCTTGGGCTTTCACCATGGGGATGGGACTGGTTTGTCAACTGGAAACTGGAGAGTGCGGGTGAGGAGAGGTGCGATGGGCACGCTGAGCGTGGAGGAAGCACTGATAGAGTGGGACAACAATAGCGGATATTACAGGGCCCCTGGACCTGTCCGAAGCTACCACTAGCGGGAATCCACTCTGCAGTTTTGGGCGGGTTTGGTCGCGGAATACCAGGCCGGTACAAGTCCAGACCGCGACCTCGCTCAACAAATTCTTTTCCCATATTGCGCCGGGTGTGTAGCTGTCGGTATTTTTTTTCGTCTTCGCCAACTGTGATTTCTCCCTCTGAACGCTGTTATTCTCTCACTCCAAGTCTTCCTACGGACTCGCCGTCTCTGACTTTCGCCTTGCCCTCCCGAATGCAACTCTTCCTGCATCCTAATGATTCCGATATTCAACGCGCATTATCCCGCTTCTGATATAGGGTAAGCGTACAACTCCTTGACTGCCCAGAGACAGTACCCTGAGGGGCCCTGTTGCATCCATCTTTGCCTCTTGTATCGGAATTGCCATCAAGATCCAACATTGAAAAGAGCGCAGCCTGCGCTGGGCAGAAAGTGTCTGCAGATGTACCTCTGGCGTACTTGCATGGGGTGGGCTACGTCTGGAATGGCGGCCTGGAAGCGCCAGGCTTCACGCAATTTTGATGGAAGTGGGGACCTCTCGTGAGCTTTCTCCGGCCCAGCTTAGTCAGAATGACGACAAACTTTGCGGGGTTGACGATCCCCAGACTCTCCCCCATCTGCGCCTTTTGGCAGCTTCTTGTCGCAGTGACGAAAGATAGAGCGAAAAAAGGAACGCCCATCCCAGGTTCAGCCAATCAGTCCATCAACCTAAGCTTGCAGACACACGCGAAAGACGCTGCTTCGGTTTTGATGCCAACGATGGGAAATCGTTAGCCCAGATTTGCTAAATCTAGCAGACTAAGGTACTTAGAGAGGAGAGAAAAAAAAAACCAATGGTGTCTCAATTCCTGGCGAAAAAAAAGTTTTGACCTTGGAATATTTTGCCACATTTCTACCCCCATTTCTCCTATTGGCCTTCAAGACATCAACATTCAAGACACCGCGGGTAAATGACGGGCGACGCAGCCCAAAACTCCCCCCTCTGGACCAAATCCATCTGGAAATGTATCCGGACACACCCGCCATGGCGATCCGTTACATCACTGGAAATGTTTGATCCTACTACCTGCCAGACTCCGGTGGTTGACCAGGCGCCGAGTTTTTACGTTCCGCAACACTGGTCAGCTCGACAGGTCATCCAAAATGTGATAGCTAGATGAAATAGGCTGTCAAGGATTCGGACTCGTCTTGACAAAGACAGGGACCTCACAACATCCCACGGATGGTGGATCTCTCTCCACCTTCATGACTAGAGATCTTGATCAACCAACTACGCCGTGGCAGAGGCTCTGCTCACCTCCCCCAGAAATCAGATCCAGTCTCCCGCATTGGGACGTTCGGTCCGAATTCCCACACACTCGTCGTTGCTTTCCAGCTAGACGCAGTATGCAGAACGCATCGTCAGATCCTAGTGCACGATCCCATCTAACAGCTTTCCAACGGTCATTCAGACATCTATCCCATCCACTTTGACCCCACCAAGAGTTATGCTATTTTTGCTGAGAGGCTAAGGTATCTTAAGATCAAAGAGAGGGATCACGACGCCTGCATCTCCGACAATTTGATATACTTCCAGCAAAACCTCAAGAATGCAGAACGGGCAATTGGAAACGTAATAACTTTTGTCATATTCGAATTAACAAGGCCAAAACTTCTTGATTACTCTTGCGACCCCAAATGCTGCTGGTATACTCTGTCTCACCGGCCCGGGACTTGGAAATCGTCCTGTATCTAGGGATGAAGTTGGCGAACGTTGGTACGACAACGGACCCCGATACCGAAGCTGTCAAGAACCTTTGCCCCAAACTTGGGTCGAACCATGCTCGCCTTACCGTCTGAGCTGAGCTAATGGTCGAGACTGTAACTCAAGAAGCAGTGTAACTACCAAAGGCATAGTGTGGGATGCCCGGCATTCCTCTCCGATATTGACAACACTGCCAATAAGTTCGACTGCCACAGTCACAATGTTTCGTTGATGGCCCTAGCTTACGGGGATCTGACCCGGAGGCCACATTCCGTGGCCCCCGCTGAGCCGCAGGTGGGAAATGAGAGACGGTTTAGAATTCCGACGTGAGCCTTGACGCCCAACTAGCATACGAGCTCCATTTCCAAGCTGTTCTAGGCCAGATGGCACTCGACGACCCTGGGCAAGCCCTAAAAATCAGGTATTGAAAGAGACAGCTATAGGTAGTTCGTTCCTCGGACAAATGATCCCAATACGAGAAGGGTGGTAGCTTAAGTTAACCACCCAAACGAAGCTTCTTGTGCCTTGCCCATTTCAAACATGATGGAACTCGCCCAAGAATCAATAATAGGCCGCATTCTTGGTAGTATCTCTTGCTTACATGGGATGTTAGAAGATGAATTAGCAATGGAAGACCAGGTACGATTGAATACTTGGACATTGAACAACTACTCTGGGCGGAACGTCGCGACGAAAGAAGACGAAAGGGATATGCCATCGTTGACTGGGAACTGTAGGGTAAGGCTGCATATTACGAGGTAGGTAGCATGTATGCACTAAGCGAGTGACACCCGCCCGCCTAACCCGAGCGCAGCCATCACGTGACTTCAAGCGCGCTGTCAAGGTTTTCCCGCTCGGCCCACGACGGACATTCCGTCAACAACATGCAACTTGAATCATCACGACTAACCAACCCCAGCCAACCCGCAACGACGCACGAGGGTGCGTGTTGGAATACAAGGGATTGCGAATCATGCCTTGAAGTCGCCGCGACGGACTTTTGGACAATGGGAGGACTCTGCACCTACGGGCGTCTTGGAAGTACGGGCTGACGGAATGGCGGTCGGTGTCTGACGCTTGGTGCAGTCAATATTTGGCCACAGCTCTTGATCGTGGAGGATAAAGCAAAATCTGCCATCATTCAGTCGCGGCGCGGCCCTTTTCTTGCTGCCAATCTGTCATTTGTGGGAACCTTGCTCCGTAACAACGACGACGGAGAAGGAGCAAGCCTCGCCATACCCCAAGATGCGCCCGATGCGCCGGTCTGACGATATCGATGCTCACTGATCGTTACTACGCCATAACGCGGCCGCCATGGCTGATTTCGGTTTCAAAGACAAGCATATGGGCTGGCCAAGGAATGATCACAGCGGCGGTACTCATCTTTGCCCTGGGCAGGCCAATAGGCGTGGCGTGGGTGCTTCGGTCGTTCGGATGTTGTTGGAGGATGGTTTCACGAGGCATTGATGCCAAAGATATGCCCGGCCAGAGGGCTCATCATTGAAGCAAGCACCGCCATCATGTCGAGAGGCAAGTCCAAGGCGCCGTGCTCAGTTGCCGAACCGACACCGCGCATGCCGCACGTATGGTCACGACCGTCCATGCTCCAACGCTGTCGAAGCCTTGATGCTCTTGCCCTCTGTCGACATTAAGATCGTGGCATAGTGCTGCCACCGCCGATGCTGCCCGTTGGTATATATCGCTATCAGCCCAACGTCTGACCCAGTTGTCCAGAGCGCACGCTTCTGAATGTTGTGCTTCAAGCCAGGTTTTGCGGGCCTGAGAGGAAGGAGGAACTAGTGGTTCTCGGCGCGTAAATCGTACATAGTGACATTGTTGCCTCGACCTCATGCCTTCTTGCGCGGTAACAGGCAGAAGGAGGACATATAGTTTGCTAGGGTTTGTGGGATAACACCTCAAACAAGCCTGGCTCGCGACTGGCAAGGATCAGGCTGGTGCGCAGGCTGGCTTGGTTCTGATTGAATCAGACAAGCCAAAACTATTTTCGGGGAAAGAGGTAGAAGGAACGCGGCCGTGGTTCTGCAAGTGCACCACTGTGGGGGACGTTGATCACATCCACAGACTTTCTGAGCCAGCGAATTTTGGTGGTGGGTTTGGCATGCTGCATATGCCATCTGAAAGCACGCGCCGATACGCCGACCGCCGACACCGCAAAATCCCGCGACCCTCGAGCGGGACTGCGTGGTGCTTATGGACGCTCTACTCTCACGAGCGCAGCCTTGCATTTTCAAGACTGCATCGTCGCTCGTTCTTTCTTTTTTCATCGTCGACTGACTGGTGGTTTGACGGCATCACATTGCTCTACCTCGACAATTGCATATCACGCTTACAAGACGGCGATATCACGTTATCGGGGAAACTTCGGCAGGCAACGTGCTCACACCTAAAAACTCAAATCGTATCGGCTGTAGCGATGGAGTCCTACCACCGCAACCGCCCTCGACATGTCGCCATGAGAGACGACCGCAGATCAGGCGATGAGCGCAGAGACCGAGGCAGAGCTGGTCGAGAAGTGACACGCTCCCGCAGATCTCCTTCGCCTCCATCACGTCGACCTCGAGAATCAGACAGATTGCCAGACAGCAAACCGCGCGATCCCCCTCCCGACAAGTCGCAGCCTTCCGGCCGAAGTCACCACAGAACACGCGAACGTAGCAGAGAGCGACCTCGTCGAGCATCGCCATCGCCCTCCCGTCGCGACAAGTACAGGGAAGACTCTCGTGATCGATCTCGTGGTAGGGGTACTGGGGAGCCGCGGCGCGAATCCCGAGCCAAGCATCCGCGAGATCGCAGTCGAGGAGCACAGCGAGGTGACGGCGCCGCGTCTCCATCCTCGAAGCGATTGAGGAGTCGAAGCCCTGACAGGACTGCCGCGGAAAGAAAGAAGGTCAGACGAGATAACAGCCCGAGCCGTGATCGCCGCGAAGCCGTCTCTGGAGACGCTGGTCGGAGTGCACGAGGCTCGCCACGTCCCTCTCGACGGTCACCCAGTCCCGACCGCCGCGAATACCGATCAAAACCCAAAGAAAGGAGTAGACGAAGGCATCGAAGCAGGTCTCACTCACCTGAAAGAGAAAAGCGAAGAGATCGTCGTGATCGTTCTACGTCACGCCGCCGCGAGCAGTCTCCTGGCCGAAGAAGAGACCGGTCTCCGCTGCCGCATCGTCAAAGGTCACCAGCGAGACCTCCCTCCGCATCCACAAGGAGTGACCGTCGCCCGGCATCACCGCGACGCAGCTCCAGAGATAGGCAGCGCAGAAGGCCATCCCAGTCCCGTGCCTCCACTCGATCCCTTAGTAGGGGGTCAGGTAGACGAGGGCAACAGGGCGACGAATTCCGAGTCGCTTCCAAGTCTCAACCGTCTTCTGGCGCCAACAGCGTGGAGGTCAGCATGAGTGGTAGAGGCAATCACCGGGGGGGCTTTGTCTCTCAGGGGCAGCCCGCGTTCGCTCACGGCCACCAGTACAGCGACCCACGACAATTTTCTCAATCCCCGCAACCAACCCCCAACTCCTACAACGGATCCCCAAACCAGTCGCCATACGGTGCTGGCAGAGGAAACTGGGGTTCTCAATTTTCTCCAACGCAGTATGTCGTACAACATCCCATCAAACCACCGTCGCACTCATGCTCACCATCTTCTAGCCAATACCCCCCTCAGTATCCACAGTCTAACTATGGTCCTCCGACCGGACCGTCGGGCGCTTATACACCAAATCCCTCCTACTCGCCACCGCCATCCGCCCCAACAGGACCTATGCACACGAACTATTCTCATCCCAATTATCGAGGCAACTTCCGTGGGGGACTTCGGACTCCACTCGGACCTGGCCGAGGCGGCTACAGAGGCAACAGTTTCAAGAGTGCTAGCACTGCACAATGGACATCCAACACCTCGGGGACCGGCTCTCGGGCCGATGACATCAAGTCCCAGCACTCTGCAACGCCTGCTCAGAGTAGCAAGTCCGATATTGGCGACAATGCAGAGGACGGCGAGAACCCGTTCCGTCCATCCAAGGACATGCAGGTTGAGGATACCACCCCGTCTGATAAGGCCCCCGAGAACACTTCGCAGCGACCCGAAAAGGCTCCCCCTTCTGGGCCGGCTGCCCAGTCGGCCTCATCTTCGTCGTCGAAGTTCAGCTTTGCGTTTAAGGCATCTGCAAAGCCCACTCCGACGGCGCCCAAGCCTGAGATTTCTCAAAAGTTCAACGCTCCTGCAAAGCGGGATACCTCACAACAGGATGACTCCAAGGATCGGGATCGCGAACGAGATCGTGAACGGGAGCGTGATCGAGACCGAGACCGAGGAAGAGACAGAGATCGCGAACGTGACCGTGACCGTGACCATGGCCGTGATCGAGAACGCGATCGGGCTCGCGAGAAGGACAAGCAGATTGACAAGGACATTCTTCGGAGTGCCCCGACCGAACCGGCGTCGGCGAGGGCCCGCCAGGAGCCTAGACAACCTCCTCCTGGGCCCCGACAGGCCATCGCTCCGAGAACACGCAAGATCAAGAAGACGATGAAGCGCCTGAAGCTAGGACCGAAACTTCCGGACGATCTCATCAAATCAGAGTCTGTCTATTTCCGCAAACCCGGCAACGAGTCTGTCGTTGGCTCAGGCACGTACGGCAAGGTTTTCAAGGCTTTGCACGTGTATACGAAAGGACTTGTTGCTCTCAAACGTATCCGAATGGAGGGTGAGAGAGACGGATTCCCCGTTACGGCGGTCCGCGAGATCAAGCTTCTCCAGTCACTGCGGCATACGAACATTGTCCAGCTTCAGGAGGTCATGGTGGAAAGAAACGATTGCTTCATGGTTTTCGAATACCTATCACACG